AAAAGAGATGGATGCTCAGCTGTCATGGATTGATATAAACGGACAGGTGTTCAAGCATGGTAATTCAAATATCGCACTGTTAAACGGCCGTAAATTCAAAGTGTGAAATGTTGGCAACTTTGCAAACTTGCACCCGTTTATTTCGGTGGGACTCCTGAGTACACTGAAAAAATAAGGAGCTGTGAAGACGCAATTTCGTACCTTTGCGGACACCCTCATGTGACAGTTTCTCTTATGACAACCCTTATTGGTTCATTTGTGAATGCATTCAATCCTTCATTCCAAATTTCAGCCGAACACTGATATTTTAGGAAGTTTGTAAAACTCATGCGCATGTGTGTCGGGAGATCGTTGAATATGTGAAGAACTGTGACTCGTCGATCACTGACTAAATGGAGTTAAGTGAGCTTCAGTGAGTAAATAAACATTGAGTGTTATATTGTAGACAAGTATGTGAACTGCATGCACATTGTCAACTCAGTACTCGGTCGGCAAATATGCCTATTCACGGATATTAGAGGCAAGCTTTGTTGTGCTGATAAACTCGTCAGCTCTTGTGTCTTCATTTCAGATAAAGCTTCCTTTTAGATGTTCAAAGCTCATTTAGTAGTAACATAGTACAGTAGTATAACACTATAGAAGTAAAGATCTCCTCGTTATGGTATAAAGAAAATAATGATCTGTATTGTATAGTCAATACTAGACTTGGTTTAGATAAAGCTACAGACCTCTATCTTAAACTTAAATATGATTGCGCCAATTAACTAGGGATGGCTAAGAAATGAGCTGGAACTCAGCTCAGTGACTGGAGCGATATAGTGCTTCTTAAAAGTGGATTTCATACTACATGTATTTGGATGCAAACCGCGCACTCAACGTTCATACGTTCAAGGGGAACTGCTCCAATCAACACTTTCAATATTCATACTCTGTGGATGAAAGTGGATGAAATTAAAAATCGTAATTTATTAGGCCTCGTTAAAAGCTTTTAAATGATCATCTGTCTGACTCCGTTTGATTGGTTGTGGGCTATTAGACAGGGAAGTAATACGTGCAGGGACTCCCTATTGATAGCACCACATTTACCAGATTCGAGGTATATGAACGTGAATGAACAGACCGAGATGCCTGTAAGCCTACAATTCTCAATACTGATGCATATACATATACATATACACAATGGATTTCGTACATTGCACTACCAGAACAAACTGCAACGAATGAAAATTTGCCATTAAACGACGTCAGCAAGTGGACATGAAATTATGCTTTCCAAAACAATCCAGAATGAACGAGGCAAAGGTTTTTAGTCTTAATTATTGCTTCCAAAAGTACACCAGTGGAATGGTTTGTAATTGGCGGCTTATTATTGCACGTTCTGCTTATCGCACATGCTCCCTAAAATCGTTCAACGAATGGGGGGTTGCAAATGAAGTCCATGATTCTTATTTATTTGTTTTACCTCTCTCACACAAATGACGACCATGGGTCTGCTCACAAGCTTTGGAGCTCGAAATTGGATGTTCATACGTTGCAGACCAACTTTATTCCGCCTATAAAAGAAAGATTAGTAGGCAAGTTAAAAATACCGATATATTGTCTGCATCCCAGTTGCGCCAATAATTTGCATTTTTCCCTGCCGGAAACACCACTGAAACCGGAAAAGACGACATCTACAGACCAGCACGCTTAGTTCTGAATGCCAAGGCGTATTTGGTTCATTCATTGGCTCTTGAGAGTCGATGTAAACCTATGGACTTATTGCTCGTGAACTAATAAAATGCATTCATTTGCCCCGATCTTATGTTTCAGTGAAATTTTGACTCCTTTCTTTTACTTAATTACTTTCTTTTCTTATTGAATAAATAATAGTAGAATAATTTCTGTCAGATATGATATGGCCATTTTTAAAGTCGTAATCAGTTTTTTCGTTTGAAAAGTTAGCACTATTTCCTGGTTCCGGTGTATTACGGCTAGTAATACTTGCACATTTATTCTCCTCTTTCTTTGTTGAGTAAGCTCCCATTCCATGCATTTAACTGAACCAGTAGCGTTCACCCAGGCTAGACTTAGTTTAGTCCCGAAGCCCTTACACAGGCACAAGACCGATATATTGAAACCCGTCACCATCTCACTTCTGTACTATGCAAGTCCATGAATGCCGTGATGTAACATTCTCCTGACTGAAAGATGAACAACACAGAATTTTTATTGACAGTATCTTCTCACTCCTGATAACTAGTCAAACCACAGCTAGGTAATAGACCATTAAAGGTCTCGGCATTCTTTCATTCCAGTATCTTTCACAGTCTGCTCACTGTCCGAGAACGTTTTGTCAGACAAGAAGACTGCTCATGTACACAGAAAGATAGACGAACTATTTTGTGGTGCTACAGTGTCATGATTCTGTGCACTTCTCCCTATCAGCCTTTTCCCTGGCGTTCAGCAAAAAGCTGTAAATCATTGCACAGATTTTTGAAACATTTGTTTATGTTGGTATATCTCTATAAATGTAATTTTAAAGTTAATTGTTATCATTCACACTCACGTTAAATTAATTACAAACCCATGAATAATTGGCATAAGCTCTGGTGGTTATTTTAATTCATCTTCCAGGTTATAATCACCTAAGAAAAGTCCCTCAAAACAATAAGTGGTATAAATACCCAAGACGGTGCCGGGACGAGGATGCTTAATATGAATAGAGAGCAGTTTATCGGTAAATTGGCATACTTACAACAATCCCCACACCCACATAGGATAGTTAGTGGAACGGTCCAACAGTATGTGTGCATTTTCTGCAGTTACCATAGTGAACACAGCATTTCTCTCCGACAGGTCTTGTTCATTTTTGACCGGTGAAGGAAACCACCAATCGCATAATTTTGCGTACTACTCAAAAATATGAGTAGTATTTCACAAAATAAGGAAGGTTTATTGCACTGGTAACGGACGAAAAGAATCTTTCTGTTTTTCCCCTGTTATCATTACGCTGGTTTACAGGTGTTAGTTACCAAATTTTCTGACTCACTAGTTCATATTCTTGTTGGAGTGGATGGGTCCCGGAATAAAAACAGGCCAAATTTGATACCAAATGTCACTATCTAACGAAATTTTGAATTAACTATATGTATGTGAGTGCACTTTGTGGTTTCACAGGGGACATTCAACTTATAACCGCAGCAAAGTTTTCGAAATCAATCAAGAAAATGGTGTAACGACGCTTCGAGGTAAACACTGCAAAGCCCATAAGAAACAGAGTATGGCAAGTATAGCAAATAGAAAATAAAACATTTGTTTTGCAGAACCTAACTGATACAACTAGGGAACATAGTTAAAGGATTCCAGTTCTCAGCTTCGTTGTCAGAGCAGCAAACAGTGAGATCTTTGTTCACTTTACTCACTTCACTTGCATGCGATCGATTTCTAGAAGATGCTCGCGAATCAGCCCGTTCATAGGCGTGCCCGCTAACGGGAGTATGTGAGCCACGGGCATTCATTCCTGATGAATGGTGGGACGGACTTGGTTGTTGAGATCGACTGCGTGTGGTGGAAGACGCATGATTCGGTATTGTGGCGTAGACCAGCGGATATCTGTGCACACGATATGAGTGTCCGGTTGATGGATAACGGACACGACTGCTCGAATGCCAATGGGAATGGGTACCGTTTTCACGAACATCGTGAGCCTGAAATGTATAAAACAAAAAAATGTTTGAGTAATAGGAGTAAAATTGATTCAAAACTGATTTGTCACGCAACATTGATGTGCCCTAAATACCCCCAAAAAACCCTGCAAGCATTCAAAACACAACTATTTCATTACTTTTAGAAAAAGTTACTTGAGTACATCCACTGAGCCGGTGCCGACACAAACTCAGACGTGTGTAGGGTTAGAAGTGCCAAACACGTTCCCAACAAGTCAGCTCGATCTAGATCCGGTGATTGACTTCATATCGGCAACACTTAATGTAACACCCACCCATCTACACTAACGGACGTTGGATGAAAGTATGAATCATTAGGTTCGATGTTTGGCCATGAGTGTCAAGACTGGTCTCGAATCCGACCTCCCGGAGAAAATTTGCGACTGACATATTGATAAACTAAAACAGCTTTTGTTCACAAGTCTATCCTAGGGTAAAGTTGTCAAAGACAAGATTAGTTAAAGAGGATTCTGTGTGAGAATGAACAAACCTGACTTATTCCGATCCATATGAAAATTCACGGGATCGGATCAATTGATTTGTTAGCATTTTTGAGACAGAATTTGTTAACCCAAGGATGACGTCTTTTGAAGGCTTACTGTAAAGATCAACCAGTTTGGAAAATTAAACACGCCAGTTTATTCAACATTCACTCCGTTTTGGACTAATGCCCTCCCTGCGTTTGCGCCGCCCCCCCAC